GATAAAGATAATTGGTGAAAAGTTCTCTCTTTGCATTTAAAGTAAACATGACAATGGACTCTTCCTTGGTGACATATCAGGACAGTATTACAATTGAATTCTGTGGTTTGAGTCCACAGGTGGCGTCTTCAAACTTCTCAAGGAAACTGTAAGTGACTCTAACACTATTCCCTTTGGACAAATATTTGCCAAATCACCAAAGGGTCTGGATGGCTTATGAGCCTCCTTTGTATAACTTGGGGTATTGCAGTGGCCCACATGGTTAAGGTGCCCAATACCACAAACAATATATGGGTGGATCCAAACTCTGGACTCATTTGGTCAGGTGACAGGACCAAGCTTTACAGCTGCCCAAATCAGGCTGCAGGCCTCCTGTACCAGCTATTCTGCATCTGTTCTTCTCTCCCAGATTGACAGGAGGGCATGGAAAATGGAGACATTTATGTACCAACAGTACCAGTGGCAAAGGTCATGGAACACTCTGGACCCTGGAAACTACAGGCTCAGCTCTAACCTTGTCTGTAAAACACACTGGTCTTTTTATTTTATGTGACAACAAAGTATAGAAAGGGTTCCCAGCTAATTGGTCAGGACGATGTGGACTTGGATACCTGCCCCCTTCTGTCACCAGATACTCCACCCTAAATGCCAGCCACATTGGAAACTTGGGCTCCTTTGTTCATAAAATTGTGCCACATGAACGTGCCAGTTGAGAAATCATAGGGAACCTACTTGTCTATCACAACTCTTGAGTTATTTTCAGTAATAAAAATCTTATTCCCCAGCTTTGGAAATTATGAGTTAGAAAAGGCGATCTTCAATCTCTCCATGGTGATGGAGAAAATACTCCAGTCAGAGATTAACAGCCTAGCCTCTGTGGTCCCCCACAATTGACCTGCTCTGGACACACTGATGGCTCAGCAGTGAGGAGCTTGTGCAATCATTGGTGAAAAATGTTGCTTTTATTTGAACCAAATAGGGCAAGTAGTATCTAACTTCCATCTATAAAGAGAAGATTCGCATTTTCCATCAGACAAATGAAGCTCACCCATTTCATTGGACTGACTCATTCCCAGGATCGGGAACTGGTTTAATGGCGTGGAGCAGATGGGCTCCCATCCCTTCCTATCTGCTTGTTCATCCTCATTCTAATCTATGTTCTTTTCTCCCTTTGCAGATTCCTGACCACTCAGCTACTAACTCATTTTCTCTCTTCACAGTCACCAGCTCAGCATTCAATATGTGAAACCAATACCAGCTCAACACAAGGTTGACATAAGGGAAGCCATATTGTACAAAAGAAACCATATTGTAACTCGGAATGACCTTTGATTAGCCCAGAAATGCTCTGTAGATTTTATGGCCCCTTCCAGCTGCTGTAAGTTGATAACTTTGTTTTTCTGAGTTCCTTAGGAATGTGACAACCCTGGAGCAGAGAGCCTATGCTGATAGCCATCATCAATGGCAACTGAAAGATCAGGGTATGGGACATTGCTCCATTTTCTGACGCATATCCAGTAAAATAAAAGACTATGAGAAACCGAGACCAGATGCCTGCCCCACCCACAGATCAGATGAAGGCCCCACCAGAGACCCACCCCCTGTATAACTGGCCTGTAGTCTTTGTTCTGTAAGACCGTTCTTTGGGACATGAGTTGGCCATCTTCCCTCTTGCTAGCAAACTGTAATAAAAAGTCCTCTCTCTCCTACCTCTTTGCCTCCTGACTATTGGCATGCCTTGCGGGGGGCAGAGGAACCCACCACCCCACCTTGGGTGGTAAGAAAACTTCCAGGGAAGTTTCAGAGAAGGGAACAGATGGGGCTCAGGGCAGGCTGATGAGGATTATTTTAGGCTGGTTACTTTTAAAAACTGCAGATGAGAAGGAGGCTCTGAGGAGTGGAATTTGCTTGCCCTTTGATGAGAGATATTTGCATTTGTGAAGGAAGTCTCCATCTGTGGGGGGTGTCTCCCTCTCTGCACCAGGAGGAAGGGGGGATGGCCTTATCTCTGGAAACTCTTAATGGAGAAGGCAAGGACTTAAGTTGTTTACTGTCTGGTAACCTCATGTGACTGACCGCCCCCCCCCCACCGCAACATCTTCCTTTGTCTTTAGCTGAAGATAATATTTAAGGTGGTGGTTTTTGCCATTTACTTAATCCAGTTTGATTCTTATCTAAAAGTTACAGGACCACCCAATAACCAGACCCCACCTGCACGGATACCATTTTAACAACTTTTTTTTACCTATTCTTTCCTTTGTCTTGTAAAGAGATAACTCACATGCCTATGCCTTAAATTTAGCCCTACCCTCAACCCATGTTTGCAGCAGTTCCTTCTGCCCACGGGTCCTGTCCCCATGCTATTCCACACTATTCTCTAAATAAAAGAGCACTACTGCCAGACCTTGAGTGTCCAAGAAATCTTTCTTTTGACTCCTCAGCTCACTGAGCCCACATCAAGGACACCCCAAAATGTGCCACTGTGGCATGTGATGAGGATCAACGTTGCCCCAGGGAGAAAAGCCCAAGGCATTCTGGCCCTACATGCAGATCTATATCCTCCTCTTGGAAATACAGGACCTCCTGACCTGATTCTATCCAAAGTTATAGGACCACCTGCTAACCAGACCCCACCTGCACTGATAACATTTTTTTGCATGATCTTTCCTTTGTCTTGTAAAGAAATAACTCACATACCTATGCTTTATAAATTTCAATCCATTGCAGCTATTCACTGCCCATGGGTCCTGTCCCCATGCTATTCTCTGAATAAAGGAGCACTACTACCAGACCCTGAGAGTTCAAGAAATTTCTTTCAACTCCTTGGCTCAGTGAGCCTGCATCGGTATGCAGAGTATTTTGAGCTGAAGACAATCAAGGCTCAGAAGACTCTGGAGGAACATCTGACCTTCCTCCAAACTGCCTAAAAGAATTTAAGCTGGAAGGGCCTGTCCCAGGAGGAGCTCTTACCATGGATAATTCTAGGTGTGGGGGGCAGGAAGGCATCTAGCGAGGGCCATTTTATCAAAAGATCTCTTTCGGGTCCCATTGTCTATAGATGGAACAACACAAACATTTGTTTACCAGATATGAACTCTTTTCATCTTCCTGTAAATTGTCTTCTCCCCCTTTGAAGTCTCCGTTCTCTGTCTCCCTCTCCTTAGTCCAGAAGGATATACATACCTCATTTTGCCTGACTGTCTTGGTAAAAAACACAATATCTGCAAAGCACAATAAAATGAGGTATGCCCATGACACGTGTTGTGACTTTGTCAAATTAACATTTGTTGAGTAGAGCCCTGGCAGCATTGGATGGTGAGCCTGGGTTCAACAACAGACTGCAAAAGAATTGAAATAGAGAAGTTTGTGACTCACAGGTCCTGGAGAAGATCCATAGCACAGCTAGAGGGGACACACCTGGAGGTGCAGGCAGAGGGCAGGGCGGAACCTGGGGCATATGCCTTTATTGGGGTCCACAGGCAGAGTGCTTTGGGGTTCCCAGGCTAGGTATGGATTGGTCAATTCAAACCAAAGGAGGTTTTGGTAAGGTTCGCAGGGGTCTTATCCAAGGAGTGCACAGGGGGAAGGCCCTGGGAGACAGGGAGAATGCCTCTCACAGGGGAAGTTGCAGGAGTCATATTAAGAACTGATATTTACTGGTGACTCAGTTACCTGGCCCCCCAACTCCACAGGACATTAACCACAACCCTGCTCAGAACAAGCCTAACATATTATGTTGAGCATACAGGAAACCACAGAGAGAGGAAGAAGAAGATGGCTGAGACACATGGTCAAAAACAGTTAAAACCGGTTAAAGGCAACATGACAGTCTGACTTGACCTAACACAGACCCTGCAGTTCATTATATGCTCATTGGAAAACATCATCACGTTACATAACACACCTACCTGCAGCCATGGCAGGAAATTCAGGCCAAATAAGGGAAGAAAAGGGGTGGCAGGCCATTCCCCAGAAAACCCTGCCCGTTGCCTGTATTGCTATGAATATTCCTCCCCTTCATTATCTTGACCCCTTGTAACAGCTGCTTAATCCTCCCAGAGCTGAGAAGCTGATTTGTGAAATTTGCTCAGGCTTTTCTATTCTTTGGCCATTAAATAAAGCATGTGCTAGTGAATGCTCAGCTTCAGTCTCGTTTTAACTCTACAAGACTGAACAGGAAAGAACCCTCCAAGGAAGAGCTGGGCACTGTGGGCTCGAGTCCCACCCGTGGATTCTTCCTCGGGTCCCCTCTGATCGTGGGTTCGAGGACCAGCAGAGGGAGGCTAAATTGGTAACAGAATTGGCATCCAGTTGGGGATTCAAGTCCCACGGAAGTGAAACTGGTAACAACTTTGCCAGTGGTTATCTAGGGCATGTACTCCCGGGAGGGGCTACTGTCACTTCAAGGCCCCTGCAGGCTGCTTGTCCACACAAAATGGATGCTGAGGCAGCAATGCTATGAAGTAGGTTAGCTAAACTCCCAACAAATTCTTAGAAGAAAACATAGGAGTAAATCTTCATGACTGTGGGTCACCCAACGACTTCTTTCTTTCTTTTAGTTTTTATTTTTATTGAGGTAACATTGGTTTATAACATTGTATAGGTTTCAGGTGTACAACATTAGAATTGGACATCTGTATACACTACAACGTGCTCACCACCAGAGGTGTAGGTTCCACCCATCACCATATAATTGACCCCCTTTACCCATTTTTCCTTCTCCCAATGGTTTCTTTAACCATGACAGCAAAAGTTCAAGCAACCTAAGAAAAAGAAAAATAAATTGGACTTCATCAAAATTAAAAACCCGTGTGCTTCAAAGGATACTTCAAGAAAGTGATGCCACAGAGTGGCAGAAAATATTTGAAATCATCTATCTGATAAGGGGATTGTATCCAGCACAGAGAAAGAACTCTTACAACTCAACAATAAAAAGATAAGTAGCCCAATTTAAAAATGGACAAAGGATCTGAATAGACATTTCTCCAAAGGTACACAAATGTCCAATAAGCACATGGAAATACTCTTGACATCATCAGTGATTAGGGAAATGCAAATCAAAACCACAGTGTGATGCTCCCCCAGGATGGCTACAGTCAAAAGTCAGAGAAGAACAAATGCTGAAGATGATGTGCAGCGAGTGGAACCCTCACACACTGCTGGTGGGAATGCAAGATGGCACAGGTGATTTGGAAAACCATTGGGCAGTTCCTTAAAAGGCCAAACCTGAGGTTACTGTATGATCCAGAAATTCCAGCCCTAGCTATGTACCCAAGACATGAAAACATGTGTTGACACAAAAACTTGTACATGGACTTTCATAGCAGCATTACTCATAGTGGCTGAAAGGCAGAAGGAATCCAATTGTCCATCAACTCATGACAGAAAAATAAAATGTGAAATATCTATACAATGGAATAATATTTGTCTATAAGAATGAAAAAAGTAGTGATACAACATGGATGAATCTTGAGAACATCATGCTAAGTGAAAGAAGTCAGCTACAAAGACCATATATAGTATGATTTCATTGCTATGAAATGTCCAGAATAGCCAAATTCATAAAGACAGGGAGTAGATTAGTGGTGGCCACGAGATGGGGGAGAGGGGAATGGGAAGTGACTGCCATTGGGACAGAGTTTCCTTTTGGGGTGATGAAACTGTTCTGAAATTAGATAGTGGTGATGGTTGCACAATTCTGTGGATTTACTGAAAACCACCGACGTGTACATTTTCAGTCGGTGAGTATTATGGTATGTGAATAAAATTATCAAAATCAAAGCTAAAACACCAAACTGTTTCCAAGAACTCCAGGGGCAGGAAGGGCTGGGTGCCAGAGAGAGATGGAGCCTGGTAAACAGAGGAGCAGAGTAAGAAGTGGGGAGACAGGTGCTTCTCCTAAGCTGGCCCCTTGTGTGTTACCTCATTGAGGTTGTGGCATGTGAAACTGTCACTCATGTGTAAGGGCTTTAAAACGGAGCTGAGAAGCCACGAAGGAAATGTGGTTCCTATACACATCCTCAGGGAGCAGAACATGACCTTCTGAACTGAGTAACCTGCAAGAAACCTGCAGCCCCTCACAGTGATGGGCTTTTGCCTCCCTCTGGCTAGCCTTAGTAACCAATTATTTGTAGCCAAGATTACCTTTCTGCCCCCAAACCAATTAACATTGTTAGTATGCATACTTCCTTTCTGGTGCCTTTAAAAGCCTCTGACTTTTACTCCCTAGGGTACACTATTCGGGTTTGTAACTGAATCTGTGCTCCCTGAATAGCAATTCTCTGATCGCACAATAAATGCCTCTCTGCCTCTCATTTTCGTTCTTCACTTGTAGGTTAATCAGGCCAGTGGTGCGTGTCTGACTCCTGCCCAGCACTTGGGTTTCTGTTTTGACTCGAGCCAGAATATCAGCAAAAGCTGCAAAGCGAATATGCTCCTGATCTTTTCGATTTGTTCTGTCTTCCAGGCTTAGCCTGAAAGCTGACTCTGTAAACGCGCCCTTTGCTCAGCGCTGCCAAGACTTGGTTAAAGTCACTGAGGAGTTTCCCGCAAAGGTACAGCTCTGCTAGCGTCTCTGGGGCGTGTCTCATACACTCCTTGCGAAATGTTTTACTGATCCCCACCTCTGAGCACTGACCTGCACGTAACTATCACGTGCAGGCCTGCCTGCCCGTAACTATCACATTCATAGACACAGAGAAACACGTGGATATGCAGGCCAGGATCGCTCCAAGCGTCCCCGCGGCCGCTCTGCTCCCGCTCCGGCTCACCGGCGTCCTGTGAGGTGAGCATGGGGGCCCCTCCTACAGATGGGGAAACTGAGGCTCGGAGAACTCGAGCCACGCGGGGAGGAGGGCTCGGGGGCCACACCGCTGGCTGACCCGAGGCTCCACTTTAAACGGAGCTCCCTTCCTCCGGCCCGTTCACCGCGCGGTAACCGAGCACCGCCTGGGCGGGCGCGGGAGGCGACAGGAAGGTGGCACGAGGGCGCCGCCGGGCCGGCCCGGGACTCGCGGAGGAGCGGAGACGGCTCCGGCGGAGGTTCGGGGAGGCCGCTAGGACGCGGGACCGTCCCGCGCGCGGCTCCCGCCACTCACCTGTGGGGTCCACAGCGTCGCACGCCTCAAGCACTGAGGCCGCCACTGGGCTTCCGGGCGCCGAGATGTTGCTATCAACATGCGCCAGGAGCCACGCCCCCTGGCCGAGCTAGAAAGGCTCCCCAAGCTTTGCGCGCTAACTCAAAAAGACCTTGCGCAGAACGATGTTGGCCGGGTGTGTGGATTCCACCTGTGAATACGCGTGCGTAGTGGGGGTAGCTGCGCCTCTTGGGCCTGAGCTCACGCGCTGTATCCACGGCAAGGACTGCGTGTGTGCGATGCGAGGCCATTTATTGCGGCCATGGAGGCTTGTGCCCTAGTGGGGAGCCCGCGGAGAGCAATTACATTGATGGTCCTTTCTCCGGCAACTATTTATTGAGCGTCCACTGTATGCCAGACACTGCACTGGGTGCTGCTACCTAAGCGAGAATGACCGAAGCAGCCCAGCAGGGAAGGCCAGATCGCCAAGGAGCGGGTCTCTGAGGTCTCCACCTTTCCCCCCGCACCTAACACACCGGCCGGCACGGAGATGTCTGCGGACCGAACCGCCGAGGGGAGACGCGCCGTCGCTGCCATCCGGGATCGGGCTGCGGGAGACCAGGCGGCAGCGCTGCCGGGAAGGGAACCGACGACGGGGCCGGTAGACCGCGCTCTGGACGCCCCCGGTGGGGCGGGGCCGGGGAGCCAGGGCTGTGGCCATGAGCTGGGGGCCAGGGGCCAGGGGCCCGGCGGGGCGCGCACCTTCCCACGGCCCGCTCAGATGGTGGCGCCTGGGGGTGGAGGGGACCCTGCAGAAGCTCGCGCTGCGCCGGAAGAAGGCGCTGAACGCCCAGGAGATGGCGCCGGACTGGCTGCGCAGACGGCGGGCGGCGCCATCGACCCCGCCGTGTTCAAAGATCCGGCGTGGGCGGGGCTGCGAGCTCGATGACCCCAAACACTTTGCTTTCCTCCCCCTGCCCTTGTTGGAGTCCCGGAGGCCCAGGGCAGAGTTGGGTCTTGAGGGAGGCGACCACGCCCGCCCGCTGTCGCTGAGCCGCCTGGCCTGGGCGAGGAGGGCTCCCTGCGCACGGGTCTGTCTCTGCAGGATCCCAGTGGCCCTGCTGATGCTGCACGTGGCGCCCCTCGCCGTCCTCCAGATGCTCCGTCCGTGTGCCGAGCAGAGGCTGCCGAGCGTGCCCCAGGCCCCTGCGGCTGTGTCTGCCCCCATCGAGCCTGCCTGAGTCAAGAGGTCAGAGTTGGGCCCGGTGCTCCCCGCCCGCCCCTGTGGCCCGGGCAGCTAGGTGGCAGGGGTAGGGAGGGGGCAGCGCCGGGCACGGGGTGGCCTTGGCCCTCAGTGGACAGGCCTTTCCGTCCGTCTTGTCCCAGGGCCCGCTGGGCCATCCAAGGGCTGGCCCCTTGGGCTCCAGTTGCCAGCTTCGGCCTGGCTGCGCCCTGCAGAGAGAACCTGCGGATCGGGTGGACGCAGAGCGGGTGCCCCCGGGAGGCCGAGTAGGCTGGGCCTCATCTGGGACATTTGCTGCCCCAGCCTCTCCTCCCCTCTGCACTCCTGCCTTCGTTCCACAAACCCGGGAATAAGACTGCTTTGGTGCCTGTGCTCATAGTTTATCTGGCCTCAGGGAGCTGGGCAGGCAGAGGCCTTCCTGCCACCCCCTCACCTGTACTCCACTGGCCCCAAGTACTGCTCTGGAGTCTGGCCAGATGAGCTTCCCTCCTCGGGTGGTGGGGCGTGGGATGGGAGTGAACGTGGCAGCCCCTGGCTGCCCTGGACACTCAGGGTGCAGAGGCCGGAGTGGCAGAGCACTGGGCTCAGGTGTCAGGGGCCTCCTCACTCTCGAGGGCCATGACTGGGGCATGAACAGGTGCTGGTGACAAGGTGTCATGGTGCAGCTCCAACTGCCTCCTCCCCATGTGTCCCTTCTGCTCCCAGGTGCTATCAGAAACCCTCTGACTTGCAGCCGAACCCCCTGGCTGGCTGCTTGGCCAGAAGCATGGGGCTCTCTCAGACACCCGGAGAAGGGCTGACCTGTGGGTGGAGGACAGGCTGGGCCACTGTGGGTGGGAGAGCCAGGGCCCTGGGTCCCCACGTCCCCTGTCCTGTGCGGCCCTGGGTACTCGAGTGCAGGCCTCCTCACTGACCCATGCTCTGTCTGCTCTCTCTGTGTCTCTCTGACCTCCAGGGCCTCTTTCTGCCAAGAACTGGAGCCTCCGCAGGCCCCTCCTTTTCCTGGGCCCCGGGCCTGCAGCCTCTGCGGTTCTGCTCCACGGCCCCACTGCCCTGCACTTGCCTCTCTCCTGGGCCCCTGGGTCCCTCCAGTTCTCTTGCTGCCTGTTCTCTCCTTTTACAGGTTGTGTTTATTGGTTTATCTCTGGGGGTTGGTGCCCTCTCTTGTTTCCATGGAAACTGCCGTGGTCCCCAGAAAACCAGAGCAGCTTCGAGCAGCAAGGGCAGGACCCTGTGGGCCATCCCTGCCATCAGCTTAGAGACCAAGGACAGGATTTCAGGGCTCGCTTTATTAGAGACAACCTGCAGTCCTTCTGGAACAGGATCAACACCCGCACCCCCTGGAGGCTAACTCAGCTGGGTGAGACTCGGCTCTGTAGAGGTGTCCCCAGCTCAGAGGAGGACAGCTGACCGAGGGGCAGGGAAGGGGCAGCATGGTGTGCTGTGCAGAGCAAAGCCCTGGGTGTGAGAAACACCTCGACCTCTGAGATGTTGTTGGCCATTTGGGTGGGCAGCCTGAGCACAAACCGTGACTCTTCTTTTCTGCCTGGTTCCTGAGCTGAGAGTACGTTCCAGGTGTTTCCAGGGATGTGTGAGGGAGGGCTGAGATCCCACCTGTGCTCTGGCTTCACCCTCCTTCCCGCCCCTCCCCATGTCTCCCACCTGGAACTTCCAGGTGCCATCTGGAGCTCGGGCCAGGGAGGAGTGGGGCAGGGCCAGGGGGCAGGTCAGGGGAGGGGTGGGTGGACTAGCGGCTGAGCTGAGGAATCGATGGGTGAGTTTCCAGAAGGAAGGAGAAACCGGGAACAGAGCCCTCCTCTCCCGAGGGGTGCTGGCACTCACTCACTGAGGACTCTGGGTGCCAGGCCAGCTTTAGCACTGGGGGCACAGTGGGACTGTGAGGTGGACATGCTCTTGGTCCAGGGAGGGAGATAGCTAGACAAACTGACAGTAACAGATGGGAGGAGGCCAGTGCAGCTGGCCTTGCTGGAGCAGTAAGGGTTGAGCAGGCTGGGGGGCCCTGGGTGCCAGCTGCAGTGTCCTTGCCCTGCAGCCCTGCAGGTGGGAGGTGGGGAGGTGGCTGCGAGAGGAAGGGCAGGCGGGGAGGCAGTGCAGAGCATGGATCCAGTGGATCCAGGCCATTGGTGGCAGTGGGGCCTGAGCTGGGGGTGCGGGAAGAGGGAGAGAGTGGAGAGTCAGGAGGGGTGCCATGGGAATGGCGCTGGGAGCACTGGCATAGAGGGGTTGGGAGGTCAGAGGGGGCTCTGAGAGAGGTAGGGAGGAAACCCCGATCAGGGGCACAAGAGTGGAGCGCTGGGCTCCACAGGGTCGTTTTCTCCTCAAGTGCTCAGGCCTTGGGTCCTGCTGGACTGGGTGGCCAGTGGCCAGGATTCCAGGACACAGGGGCCCTGGGGAGATGCCTGGTCGGGTAGAGGGCAGCCTGGGGAGGGGTTTGATGGGGAGGAGGGGAAGGGGAGTATCAGATGAGGGGCCATGCCAGGAATGCACTGTGGCAAGAGGCCGAGGCCAGCAGACAAGACAGATCTCTGAGGCCCCTGTCGCAGCGTCTATGCACAGAGACCTTCCAGCTGTCTCATTGATGGCAGGATCTGAGGTGGAGAAAATAAAGAGTTGTCAGAGTGGCCCAACTGTGGGGACTGTGGTGGCCTAGGAGGACAAGGGGTTTGGGGCTGTAGGCACTCACTGGCCTTAGGTTTCCCACAGAAATCAGGGTGTGCACCTGCTCCAGGCCGTGGGCTGGAGCCCACTGAGGAGCTTGACTCTGTCTGGGTTCCTGATCCCTGGCCATCGAGGTGGCCCGTGGGGAATGTCACCGACTAGCTCACTCATTTCTGCATTTTCCCGCAGAGAGGGGGAAGCAGAAGACCCCGGAAGCACCGAGGGGGAATGCTTGTCATGGGGGGACGTGGGTCACTGAGGAAAGAAATTCAGTGGAGTGCTCCCTGTTGAAGTTCAGGAAACTACGTCTTAAAAGATGTCCCTCCAGGACGTGGGGGATGAACGTGGTGCGCGGAAGCCATGGGCTTCTCATGCAGCTTCGCTGTGCGATGCGGGAGCCACAGGCCCCAGGCTGGTATGGTGAGAGGCACTGGGCATGTGGGCACCCGCCATGTGCCTGGGTGCAGAGGGCTGGGCGCAGAGGGAACATCACACCTCACGCGTGATTCTTATACTGATCCCATGTTGAAGTGATAATATGTTGGATATTTGGGGTTAATTAAAACAGATTATTTAAATTAATTTCCTGTTTCTTGTTACTTTTTGATGTGGCTACTAAAAAATTTAAAATTACGCATGAGCCCTCCTGTGCTGCTGGCGGCCAGGGCCGGACTGCGTGCGCTCCCCAGGGCAGGAGTCAACAGGCCGAGCTTCCCTTCCCCAAAATTGACCTCCAGAACTTTCCCCATGGCTCCTGGCATGGCCTCTGTCCTAGGAGGGCCTCCTGCACTCAGCCAAGGACTCCTCTTGGAGGTGCCGTCTGTCCAAGAGACAGGCCAGGCTCAGCCTCAGGACTCAGGGCTGCCATAGGGTCCCCACTGAAAGGACCGTGACAGAAATGTACTTGACGTAAATGTTGCTCATGAGAACACAAACACAGCAGGTGCGCGGTGACTGTGCAGCTTGCCCTGGTTCCTGATGACAGTGTCCCTTGTCTGCTCAGAGAGAAACAAAGGCAGCAGTGCTCTCGGTGGAGGCCAGGCAGTGGCAGAATGCGGCAGCCGGGAAGGATCCGGCCAGAGGATGTCCTGCCAGCCCATTGCTGCCAGGCTGCTGGTGGCGGGGATGGGGAAGAGCCCCCCTGGGAGGGGCCCCTGAGAGGGGCAGAGATGCCTCCCACCGCCCTGCTGTGGGCTCCCCAGCCCCTCGCAGGGGCTCTGTGTGCCTTCCTCCAGTTGGTAACAAAGCTTTGTGAAAACCTGAGGGTCCGTTCATGATGTTCTCTATCGCCTTCTGAAGATGTTAAGGCACAAAGATTTTAGAATTCGTTTCCGTGTGCTGGTCCTGGTTATGATACAGCTGAACTAACCAAGTGACTGAGACCAGTGACCTCACCCTCCGCGACCTCAGGTTCGGGTCTGAGACAAAATACCCATGTTACTGGGTCTTTTATAAACACGTCAGCACGTTTTGCTTAAAGTGAAACTTATAATGCTTTTACTGAGACTGCAGACAGTGAGGACAAGGATGAATTGCGTTGTCACCTACAGCTTCTAACCTGTGGGTCGTAGATGCTGTGGAGAATCCAATAAAACTCTTTTCCCCCCCAAAAGGTCCTGACCTTACATATTTGACTGACAGTTTCAGGGATTTTTGTGGATACCCCTCCTTCCACAGACCTCAGGTTTTAAAGTTCTAGTTCTAAGCTTTTATGCTTTAGTCCACATGTCCCATCAATGGAGGAGCCTGAGAAATGCAAATTCAATTGAAAAAGTGTAACTCAGTTTTCCTAGAATTTAGTAAATCTTTGTTCTTTGAAACCTTGCATTGGAAACACTATTTTGCCCCGGGTCGTGTCATGTGGCAGTGGCTCCTCACAGAAGTGGGTGGCGGTGTGCCCACTCCAGCTGCGCAGCCCTGTGCAGCCCGGACCAGCCTTCCATGTGGCCCATCCAGCTCTGGGGTCCCACCCGCTCCTTTGCACAGACAAGTGTGTCCCAGCCGAGCACCACGACAGACAGAGGTTGAACACAGCCACTTTAATAGGGAAGCATGTCCTGTAATGCTACAGTGGGGGGAGGACACAGGGAGGGCTGCCAGCCGCGCTCCCACTCAGTGCTCTTCCCCTGCTTTGGCCTCAGCTTCCATGGAGTCCATACCCACCTCTTTGTAGTCTTTCTCCAGAGCTGCCAGGTCCTCCCGGGCCTCAGAGAGCTCTCCTTCCTCCATGCCTTCCCCACGTCCCAGTGCACAAAGGCTCACTGTGCATACATGAGACTGAACTTAGGGTCCAGGCGGGCCCAGGCCTTGGTGATGGTGGCGGAGTTGCTCCACATGCACATGGCCTGCTGCACCGTGGCCAGGTCTCCCCTGGGATGACGGTGAGGGGCTGGTAGTTGATGCCCACCTGCCAGAGAAGGGGAAGAAAGTGCTCTGTGAAGCTTCTGTCAAACCCAGAAATGGTGGTGGCATCACGGGAACAGAAGACATAGGTCCCCTCTGGCAACCCAGGAGAAGACTCGGTTCACCCTGCAGTCCCTGAGCCTTCTTGGTACCAGGCAAGGAGCCAGGAGAGCAGGGTGCTGGTCCCCAGACAAGGAAAACAGGGATAGAGGAGCCCCGGAGTCAGCCACCCTGACTGGGTTCCCAAGCTGCCCTGAAGGGCTGTGTCCCAGCAACTGAGACATGTGACAGGAGCCCAGGTGACAGGACTGTCTTCTTTCTGAAAAGTACACTGCCCCGGATTCTTCATACGCTATTATCTCCACAGGCGTCAACAGGATGGCGATTATTTTCTGTGGCTGAAACCTCTTCCACCCCGATAGACTTAGAGCACACAACTGTGGCTGTATCACGAGGGAAGATCGTTTCCCACCAACTGCTTTCCCACCAACGAGCCAGGCTATGCAGAGCAGGGGGACAGGACACTGTCAGAGGTCCTAGGACTGCTGCTTCCACTGCACCAGGAGGTGGCCTATGTGTGTGCCAAGTAGGAGGAAGGAGGTGACATTCCAGGGCTGGGACAAAGGGGAGGCATTCCAAGTTTCAGACCAAGGGATAATGTGACCAGAGGTTTTGGCAGCAGCACACGGGGTCAGCTGGGGCCCGGGTCAGCAAACACTGTCTGGAGAGGGCGAGACACTACATGGTCTAGGCTGGGTGGGCCACGCGGTCTCTGTTGCAGCCCCTCAGTTGTGTCTTTGCAGCAAAAGCAGCCACAGCAATCCTCCCATGAGCAGCTGTGCTGTGTCCACAGAAAACGCATTTACAGAACCAGGTGTCTGGGCCACCCACCACGCTGACCCTGAACCAGAGGAGGCCCAGAGGAGGAAGGCCCAGTGCAGAACCCCTGCAGCGGGCCCAGCAGAAGCAGGGAGGGTCTGAGCAGGCATGAAAAGGCTCAGGGAGGCACAGTCCTGAGGGAGAGGATCCCCAGGGTTTGGTGACTGAGGGTGGACAAAGCTGGAAAGCGACGGCAGGGTTTCCATCCCATGTCCAACGGAAGGGGGAAACTGTGGTCTGAGGCAAACTCGGGCCAGAATTTCTAGGCTTACCAAGACGGAAATAAAGATGTTGCCATTTTCCTCACAGAAAGATCCATGATAATTTTTCTTTAAATCCAAGACTGCAGAGAACATTTAAGTTGGATGTAGTTTCTACACAGTTATGGAATGAAGTAAGATTTAGGGACAGCTAGTTCGGTTCATAGTAATTCCCCCATTTCAGATATCTGCATGAATTACCAAAATGCCAGGAAAATGCCTCCATTTCTCAGTCCAACCTACATTTCCCACACTGATTCTACCACCCAAAAAGGGAACAAAAGTCCTCTAAAATTTTTCTATTCTGTTAACTAAGAATACTCTCCCCACAGATCTCTAGTGTGACGACTCAGGAGGGAAGTTAAAGATGCCCCTGAATAGACGATCACGCTGGGTCCCTAAGTAACGGCCAAGAGCTGAGCTGCAAGGAACAGGGGATTCTCTGAAAGGGGCCGCGTTCCATGGCAGGGTCTGCTGCTTGCTAACAGGTCGGCCCACTCCCCATCACCCACTCCTACCTTAGCTCCAATTGGGCCTCAATCTACAAACTGGATGGTGCGCTTGGTCTTAATGGTGGCGATGGCCGCGTTGACGTCTTTTGGGACCACGTCCCCCCTGTAAAACATGCGGCAGGTCATGTACTTGCCATGGTGAGTGTCACACTTGACCCTCTGGCTGGCTGGCTCGAAGCAGGCATTGGTGATCTTGGCCACGGACAGCTGCTCATAGTAGACCCTCTCAGCTGAGATGACCGGGGTGCAGGTGGCCAGGGGAAGTGATGAGGGGGTACAGGAGCAGCTTGGTCTGGAATTCTGTCAAGTGCCTGTTCAGGGCCCTGTCAAATTACAAGGAAGCTGTGATGGAGGACCCGATCTGCCTGATCAGATGACTGAGGCTGGTGTACAGCAGCAGCTTGATATCCAGGTTGTGATGACATATGTCGTAGATGGCCTCGCTGTCCACCATGAAGGCACAATCAGCATCTTCCAGGGTCGTGCAGGTGGCCAGCATGGAGTTGGAGGGCTCCACCACGGCCATGGAAACCCGGGGGGGCTGGGGAAATGGCAAGTCTGAGCTTGGACCTCTTGCCATAGTCCACCGAGAGGTGCTCTGTGAGCAGAGATGCAAACCCAGAGCCGGGACTGCCCACGGAGCTGTGGAAGATGAGGAAGCCCTGCAGCCCCGCACAGACCCGCCTAGAGAAAGCAGAGAACAGGGCCAACGTGGGCAGAAGACACAGCGCAACCTCCAACCAGCCCCGGTCACTTCTCTTCCTCTGCAAGATCACGAGATTCACACCCTCCACAGTGAACATGCATGGCACTTAGAGGCAAAGCAGACAGACGGTAAAGATGTATGCATGCACCACAGCCACACTGGAGGGTAAGACTGTGGACTCGTGATTAAGGCCTCCATTTTGCCAAAATATCCTCCTCGTCACAATCTAAGGCCTACACTCCTGTCCAGGACAGCGTCCATAGGAGGCCTTCTTGGCACTCTTACCAGTTTGTAGACCCAGTCCAGGACCAGGTCGATGATCTCCTTGCTGATGGGGCAATGGCCTCTGGGGTAATTATTGGCTGTGTCTTCCTTCCTGGTGATCAGCTGCTCCGGGTGGAAGAGCTGCCTGTGGGTCCCTGTGCACACTTCATCTACAAAGAGGACACAGGTGTCGTGAGTCTTTAAAGCCTGTTGTTAACTCACCAGGGTGGACAGATCAGGACCATCCCCTTCTACCAAGCACATGCTGTTCCTTGTAGGTCAGCAGCATCAGTGTCTCACAGGAAACGTCTCTGTGTAATACACAGACCACAACTGCACCTGATGGCTCTAGGAGAGAGGAGTCAACTCGCAGGACAAATGCCAGTGTGACCGGTTCCCCAAGAAGGGAGGAGAGCTCTCACACCCGCACACAGGCAACTCTACACATGCGTGTTTCTTCCATCCCCGTAGCTACAGCCAAGGGTGGAATTTAAAGATCCCTTACAGGCTAGACAGTCCCCAGCATGACTGTTGCTGGGCAGTCCCATCAGCCACCCT